AAAAAAACGAAAACATACTGAAAACATGTAGTTGATTTCCTCTACAACTTTTGGATGAGAAAAAAGCACGTGCACAAAATCCTCCCAATCTAAATTTCCTTATGAGTCTGGTTTGAAATCAAATTAAACAAATCCCTACCTGCACACCCTACTCCTTCAGGACTTAAGAAGGTCTTGAAAGCTCCCAGATATTCTCCAACAGTCAAAGCTGGATGAAATAATATTCGAGCAGTTGACAATCGAGAACGAACTCTCTTTTCGAGTGATGCTATGAAGTTCTACGATAGAAATTTATGAGCAAAAACACAAAGAGAAAGAACAGTCCATACCTGATGTTGCACCATAAGAAACACTAACCACTGACCACTGCTAGGTCTTCTGGTCATATCGAGCAACAGATAAAGCAAAGACTGACGTTGACGAGAGGCCAGCTCATCAGCATCTTCCACAATCAAAATGCATTTCTAGAACGCGTTGCGCTTGTCGTCAACCAGAAGCGAATTATCCACGTCGAAAAAGGAAGAAACGCGCTTAATAGCGTATTCACTTACATTCACATCTGTTTCATCAATCAGCAACTGCAAAGCGTTTCTGTCCGAACCAAGATGGGCTAAAAGTATGTGGGAATATATGACCCTTCCTGAACCAGAAACTAGCATGAATATTCCAGATGCATAATTAATTAAGCCACATACTCAATTTCAATGAAAAAATCCGTCCCTAACCTACGCTTATGATCTGCAACTTTGCATCGAGGTCAAATCCCAGCACAGCATTCCTCACCGAAGTTGTTCGAGCACTGCCTGCTTCACCTACTACCACGCAAACAGTACCCTCTCCGCTGATAGCATAGCGGCTGACGACCCCTTCCAAAAGACTGCGAAAGGCCTTGGATATGCTAAACACAAAACCAGCGATAACTCACCTTTTTTCTTCTTCCGTGTCAACAAGGATGCATTCAAGATTTTCGAGTACACCTTGGGCTTGCACGTCCAAGTCAGTCCTCATGCTGATATTCCGAGCTTCTGAAGCTTCAAGGTATTATATTACTTTTTCACAAGAAAACCCTGTCCGACCCCTTGTTTGAACAGGCATTCCCATGCCTTCCTGCAATCCTACACGAAGTCAAATTCTTCAGGGCTATTGTAATTTCTGATTATTAACGCCTGCGAAGGTTCCAGGCGAAATGAACTTTATACAAAATTCAAATAGTAGAAGTTATAGGAGTGCGAACATTTCTTTTTGAAAATGAGAAGCACACTAGGAACAGAAAGGCCAAGATTCAACGAGACTACGCTCAGTCCTGCAAAATGTATCCAAAGAATGACAGCTGCGCTGGCGCTATACCAGCTATAACATCAGAGGTAAGCCGAGGGCATGGCGAACGTGGCAAGTGAACAAGTAGAAACCAATGCACCTTCCCTCTCTTAATCGTCGCGCCAACTG